GTTGAGAGGAGTCAGAAACTGGTGTATGTATGGAATGAGCTGCCAGAGGAAGTGGTGGAGGCTGGTACAATTACAACATTTAAAAGGCATCTGGATGGGTACAGGAATAGGAAGGATTTAGAGGAATATGGGCTAAATGTTGGAAAATGGGACTAGACTAATTTAGGTATCTGGTTGGCATGGATGAGTTGGACTGAAGGGTCTGTTTCTGAAGAGGGGCCTGACCCAAAACGTCAGCTTTCCTGCTCCTCTGATGCTGCCTGGCCTGCTGTGTTCATCCAGCTCCACACTGTGTTATCTCCGACTCCAGCATCAGCAGTTCCTACTATCTTTGTTTCTATGACTCTTTGAGTTGCAGCAACTGACCAACGAAGAGATTGAGATTGTATTTCAGCAAACAGATAGTTAATGAAATGTGATACTGATGAGCGCTAAGTGTAACAGAAATAGCTTGAAAATCTGTCTCATAAATATTCAACAAATGGAAATGGATTAGTGCAGACTTAGAAAGGAACCTGGGAGTAATATCAGACAAATTACATTCAACAGCCAGACAGTTTAGTGTTAGAGAATCACAACAGTATGGTGGGCTAAAGATTCATAATGCATTGGATACACTTCACTCAGGTGCATGTGAATAGGAGCAGGCCATGCAGCCCCTGCCAATCTGTTCTACTGTCAGACCAGCCATTTACTCATCCCTTAGTGGCTTTGGTTAACAACAACTTATTAATTTAATATTTTAAATTAATAATTTGTTTAGCACCAAAATTTCAGTTCGCAGGAGAGAGTTCAAAATGTGTACTGTCCTTTTCATGAAGATGTGCTTCCTCAATTCAATCCCAAAAAGAATTTGATGTAATTTGTCAAATATACCCCTAATCCCAAATTCTCCAGCTCTCAGAAATAGTTTTACTCTCTCTACCCTATCTATTCCCATAACATTTTGAATATTTCTGACAAAATCACCCCCTTAACCTTCTGAATTCCAGGAAACACAACCTTTATTTTCTTATCTTAGGCCTAAGGGTACAGGCATCATTTTCTAGTAAATCTATATTGTACACTCCCTCCTATCCTTCCTGACGATCAAAATACTTACATTGACATAGCACCTCTTACGACAATTAGACCTCTCTAGGCACTTTACAGCTAATGATGTACTTTAGAAGCGTAATTATTGTCGTATTGTAGGATTGTGACCACGAACACCCACAGTTCAGCTCCCCTGCAGAATGGGGATGGCACATGTTCCCAGCAAGAACATGAGTGATAGTGAACAAAACGTTTATTGAACTTCCCGAGAGTCAGACCTCAGTCCCTCCTAGCTATGAGAGATGGAGATGCCGCACATAAAGAGTGAAGGCAGTACGTCTAAGGGAATAGCCTTTCAGCAGCATAATCCCAATCCTCATCTCAGCCTGACCCATGAGGACTGACCAATGAAGAAGTGTTTCAGGGAATACATTTCAAATCAGTTCTCACCTCTTTTTATCAGTTCATCGCTATGATATGATTAAACTCTGTCCCAAATCTGCTGACACATCACCCATCTCCATCAACTGGTCCACTTCAAAATGAAGATGGAAATCAAGCTCAGAGAACATAAATAGGAATTAATAGTTACAACTTACTCACTATTAGGGAGAAAGGGCAGCAAATGTATTGGGTAAGGGGTCACTGTAGAGAACCAGCAATCCAGAGCAGGGAACCAAT